AAGGTAGCAGCCAATGAAACATTTGTGTCTGGATAAATAAGAAGTGGTGAATTTAAATACAGATGTTTCCTTGTCTGTTGCTATGCGAAACGATGTTGTTTATAGCAATAAGAGTGATTGTGGATCAATACAAGGCTCATTTGCTAAAAATATACAAGCATTGATTCCACTTCCAAAAAAATTTTTCTATGTGAATATATTGGCAATTATATATAACAGGAGATACAGTAGGATTGAAATAGCTACCAGTTTCAATCAAATAATTATTTTAATTTCTGTATCAAGCCTCCTGGGTGTTATTTTTTCCAAGCACCATTGAGGGGGGCGCTCTGGTTATCATTAAAACAATGTCTATATTGTATTGTATTTTATTAAAATACTGCGGAAATGCAATATAATTCATGATTTTAAGAATTAATTGAATGGGGACTGCGTGGTTAAAAGAGGAGGGGCTTTTTCATTTTTGATTTTTGTATCCAAATGAGGGTATTGGAGACGGGCTTAAAGAGAGGGGGACTAAATATAGAATTACAGTACCTCAATTCCTTCCTCTCCCTTCCCAAAAATGCTGCAGGGGAGGGGGAAACTGGTTGATGTATTGCATGTTATGTACCTGGTAATATGGAGTAATGAGCTTCTAGTAAATATATGTTAAATCAGTGTTCAAATGATTAAATGTTCAAAGCTACACAGTGTGAAGCGTGAAAAACAAATGGGAGATACCCATTGCAACAAAGTTTCAACAAATATACTGTATATGGCCTTGTTCATTTCATTTCTTACGTTCGACACAAGTAAGTATAATTACAAACACAATGCATATGTACTGTTATCTAAATACTTTATATGTGCTCCATGTATATATGTTAATGTAATATAATATAAAAAATAATGTGTTTATTGTTAAAATATGTGATATACAGTATAATAATGTCAATCTCTGACTATAAGCCCTGGGCTTATATTCTTTTGTATGTGATTTTTGATGGATTATACAAGGGGGGCTTATATACGGGGCCTTATACACGGGCGATCTTTTGTGTTTAGTAATAAACAAGTCAGTCATAAACAGGAAAATAAACATGTATTATAATAACACACTTTGATTAACATAGTAAGCTATAAAGACAATGACAATGTTTTAAATATCGTTCTCTGCTTTATTAAAAGACAATGTCAATGTTGAATAACATAGTGGGCTACTGGGCTTATATTCAGGGGACTTATATTGGGGGGGGGGGGTTATATTCGGGGGGGCTTATATTTGGAATGAGGTGAGCATTATATTCAGAGGTTTACAGTATACAGTTGAAAAAGCTTGTATTTTCTTGTCATATAGAGTACACATTTCTGGGTGCATGTAGAACGTACAGCTTATACGTTGGGTTCTCATGTCGATCCAATAATAATTTGATATCGCTGCCATCACCATAGTATAGTATAGCACAGCATGGCCTTGTATCATGCATGCAGAAATGCCTTGGTCTTTCATTTTAGCCACTTGATCTAAGCTTGCTGTCTTGCATCAGTCACTGCATTTTATAGTGGAGATATGACTATCAGGATATAATTAGTTTATCAGTACGCCAAGTAACATGTCGTACACGCCAGGTAGCAGCTGAAATATTTTAATATTTGCAATAGTAAGCCCATAAACTGTTGGCAAAACGACCAAAACATCTTCACCTTTTTGCAACGGCCGAGATACATTTGTATGTCTCATCTTTTAACGAAAATTCAAGCCCTCTTTTCGCTAGAGCAGCTTTAATAGCTCTTTCAATATTTGCCATGTCCGCATTGAATATAATTTAATACTGAGTAGTGTGATTTAAATTAAAGCACCTTTAAATGTATTAAAAACTATTTGTATACCATATTCTGATGAGAATCTGTTCACACAAATATATCGATTGTGAGCGTGTGCCCGCGCGATTTGAGTAAGCGGAATAAACAAGAGCAATAAAAGCGCATGCGCCATTTATCTCATTTTGGATAAAATAATTCGATTTCCCCAGAGTCATGCCACTATATAACCCGCAAACAGGCATAGTCTGGGAACGAGATTGTCTTGAACCCTTTGAGATCACTCAATTGTCCAGAGATCTTCGGTTCTGTCAGTTCTGCGAAGGCGAATAGCACTATCCACCGAATAGTGATTCAAAAATTGGTCATTTATTAGTCTAACCGAGGTTAAAGTTTAGTATTCATAAATCATAATGTATCATGGGTCCTGTGTCCGTAGTTTCACAGCTTTTCCAGCATTTTTATACCCTGCGGGCAGAGCCTGATTTGCCCTCGCGGATATAATTAAAGTAACGAATATAATTAAAGTTTTAAATTTTGGAATTTGGATATATATAGCAGGCTCAAAGTTTAGTCATCGGTTTACATGCAAAACGAAGGCGCGCGCAATAAAAACCGATTAGAACTGGTTTACTTCGTCCAGTATTTTGGACGTACAAACCGCACAAAAACGGCAGAGCCTTATTTTCTCCGCGAGGGTAAATCAGGCTCTACTCTCAGCGTAGCATTTTTACAGAGGTTAAAAAAACATTATCCACTGGATTGAGCTAACTGGCCTTCGTACGGAACCGACCCCTGGGAAATATCCCGTAATACTTCCGTTTGACTGTGAAGTGGGCGATTTTTGAACGGAGATTTTGTCCTTTTACTTTATTAAATTTAAATTAAACTTATTAATACTTTTATCTAGCTTTATTAAGGCCGCAAGTAGACACATCTTCAATCAGCTGCTTCGGGCTATTAATTGCTTCCGCGGCAGATTATTTCAATCAAATATTCCATTCCTTTAAAATCTTATCGGATTGTTTACTTTTTGAGCACCTGCATGTCAGCTTTCTGTCATTCAAATATTCCCTGCGGTTCGAATGCTCGATGCAAATTTTCCCATATAGAACAATGTCGAGCACAAAGTTGATAATTAACACTTATTGGCTCTGCCTTTCGGGAAGCATTATGTTTTGTGGACCTAAGACCAGAAACATTGCATGCATGGGGCTAACATCCGGACGAAGGGCCTTAACTCGAAACGTCGTAGTTCTACTTGAACTGTCTTTGCCAGTGTAGGTGGTGCCAATCAAATGAACAAGCTTTCTCTGGTAGGGATGCAACCACCTGAAAAATGTAAAGAGAATATCGTAGGTAGTTGTATCTCTTCCAATTCGCAGCTTTCTTGTTCTATTATCCTCGATTATATCACGGGCGTAGCGCGTAGGACGAAGTCCGTGGCGATGAGGGAACTAATTCCGCTCGACTATTTACACCCGGGGAAGGGAAAGCATTAGCTGGTAGATACTTCATTTGACCCTTATCAGTTTTTGCACCGTAATAATTAGAGCTTAGTTTGTTCTACATTATAAGTAATGTCCATATCAGGCTGCGGAGGGGAGGCGGCAGGTAATGCAGTCTTGACGTAGCCCATTTCCCGGGGTTATAGGTTAAGGGCGGAGTGGGGGCCACACGAAACGTACACCCACCAGCGGAGTCCATTATCAACAACCGCGGGCGCATGGCCATGCATGCATGGGTGGTCCTCCCACTGATCCCCAAAACATAGCTGTTTCCCAGGAGTGAAGGAGGCAAACACTAAAAGAACATGCATGACAGAAAGCTTGGACATCTTTTCACACAATAAGTTGTAAATTTTAAAAGAAACGATAAGAATGAGAAATCCTGATGTATAGGGTAAGTTTGTTTTTACTGCTTATGTATGACTTTGCTGTCCAGTGTTTGCCTGAAGGCCTTGAACATGTGCAGCTTTCCTTTTCATTCTATGTGAAAGTTTCTTTCAATTAACTTGATTTAATTTTTTATAGAAGCTCAAAAACGGAGAAAATTACTTTCAAGAGCGACCTGTATGATTTAAATTTATTTCATTTCAAAGTACGAGTAATAAGTTGACGAGTTTATCGGCAAAAACAAGTCAATTTCAATGAACATTTAAAAACATAATATTTTTGTGTGTGTTTTGATGTTATGTACCCAAGTGAATTACACACCGGGCAGGCTGAAAAGTTAGCCTGACCACGGTGGGAATCGAACCCGCGCCTTTTGGGATACTGGTCCAATGCTCTGCTAACTGAGCTACGAGGCCAAGTTTGTTGAAGTGTGTGGTATTTCGGAACTAAGTCTAGTATTTTCGATTCCAATGTGTTCTATGATCATAATCAAAATATAATTTGGATATATATATATAATTGCGATACAAAATCACAACTTTATGTAAGTATTGGACTTTCAAACTTTAATATATAATAAAAATTTTTGGTCTGAAATTTACTAAATTTTCTATAGCAACATCACGCGAGAAGCTCGTGGGACGCGAGACAGCTAAATTTATCAGCCAATCAGAGACAAGGTTAATATCTGCACATAAGGACATGTTTGCCTTCCTTGTCTCTCCTCTACTCTATTGCGTGAGGCCCACCAACATGAACTTTATTTTGAAACAGACAATATTATTGAATGGATCAAAAGTGACACAGAATACGAGCCTTCAGTGTGAGCAGTTACGAAATATTCAACTATATACGCCCTCTGGCAGAAATCGAACCTTCGGCCCTGAGATTCCAGTGCAGCTCTAACCAGTTTAGTTTATGTATGTTTGCAAGTCTGCTTATTTCAAAACTTTAGAGAAGAAAACTCCTACCGATATGGACAAGACTTCTGAAGAAACACTTGATTCCAAATTTATAAACAAGCTTCTAGAAAGTTTGCTTTGAATTTTAGCTTAACCTATAGAACGCTAAGTTAATCGGCTTTCGAACAAACTGACCACTGAGCTACAAAGTCCAGTTGTTGGCATTAACCACATATACATTCAACTGGCATAACTGGTCAGGTCTAAAAATGTATATAAATTTACGTTCGAATATTCCATGTACAAAAACCTATCTAGTATTAGTTCCATCAAACGAGATGCCCAAAAATACTCAAAATCGTAACGTTGTAAATTACCTACCTATATAGATCGTCAAGTGCATGTAATCATCTAATCACTGAGAATGTTACTGTAAATTTATTCATATATATATATACATCATCAAATTTTTAATAATATCATTACCAATTATTTTATACACTGCATGACACTTTATGTTACAATATATTTACACGCTTAGACTAAGTTATTTAAGTATTACAATGCATTACATATTAAATTGCATGTATCAAATAGTATTATATAAGTTTCATTTTAAAATTAAATTTTTATTGTCTTTCATTACGACATTTGATCCTAAAACATAAAATTAAAATTGTTAATATATATTGATAGGGGCAAAAAATTTAAAATATTTTCAATGTTGCTTTTGTTGTTGTAATTGTTGTTGATAGTGATTGGTGATGGTGATATTGTTGTTGTTGCTATATTGTTATTGATTTACTGCTACTATTTTTGCATGCAGTTCTAGTTGCTTCATTATCGCTGTTGTTGTTGTTACCGTTGTTGCTGTTGTTGTTGTTGTTGCTGTTGTTGCTGTTGTTGCTGCTGTTTTGCTGTTTTGCTGTTTTGCTGCTGCTGCTGTTGCTGTTGTTGCTGTTGCTGTTGTTGTTGTTGTTATATCTACTATATTACATACTATATATTGACTATATCACTGTTGTTGTAGAACAGTTTATTTTAGTTTAATTGTGCTTAGTTTAGTTTAAATTTTGTTTGGTTTACTCTAGTTTACGGTTTGGTTTATAGTTTAATTCAGTTTAGTTTATGATACGAAAATACCTCCAAGAACCTACCGGCTGTTAACAGGCTTTACAAGATTTCGGACAAATTTCCACCATGGAGGTTTTGCTGTCAGGGTCATCACACATTCCATGTGCAGCATAAATACGACATTTAGTATAATTGTCACTGCACGCTTTTACTGCAAAAGATTAATGATTTTATAGTTTTCACGTAATGAATATTTTGGATCAATTTATCTGATGAATGTCATCACCACCATTATCATCGTCACCATCATGACCATCACCATCATTATCACATCACCATCATCCATCTCCACCATCATCATTACCATCATTACCACCATCATGCATTGCCATAATTATCATCATCATTATCATCACCATCATCCACCATATGCCCACTCGTTTAGACACAATAAATAGGAAATACTATATTTAATACCTTTAGCGCGATGTTTCTTGTTTGTCATTGTCTTATCTCGTTGCTGGTTCATTTCATTTGTGTCTTGTTCTTCAGAAATTACCGCACTATCATCTGCCATTTCATTTTCCACTGTGAAAGAAAACACATAAATAACCTTAAGAGTTACTATTTGTTCTCCAAGGACGTCCCTTGACGAAAATAGCTCTTTGATTTGCTCTTAATCCCTGAAGTAAATTCCTGTTAACAAAAAAGCTATAAACTATACAAATTTATTAATACCTGGTCTTGGTTTCTTTTGCTCTTCAGAAATTAGAGCACTATCATCTGCCATTTCATCTTCCACTGTGGAAAAAAAACACGTAAGTAACCTTAAGAGTTTGAAAGAGTTACGTTACATTTAATTAAGACATTTAAGTTAACTTTCACGTTCTTAAAACTATTTGTTCTCCAAGGACGTCCCTTGACGAAAATAGCTCTTTGATTTGCTCTTCCTGAAGTAAATTCTTACAAAATTTTGTTGACAAAAAAGCCATAAACTATATAAATTTAACAAAATACAAATTTTGTTAAATTTATCAATTTATTAATACCTACTGTATAAATTTATTAATACCTGGTTTCTTTTGCTCTTCAGAAGTTACCGCACTATCATCTGCCATTTCATCTTCGACTGTGAAAGAAAAAACATTTTTGATTTGCTCTTCTCGAAGTAAATTCTTACAAAGTTTTGTTGACAGATAAAAGATATAAACTTATAAATGTATTAATACCGGATTTTGGTTTCTTTTGAGGAGGTAACGACCCGGGTCCACCAAGAATTGCTAAGAGATACGAGCGAAAGAACAAATATATAAATATATATTACCCCGCGTTACATTATCACTAAATATCACAACGAATGTATTTTGTTTTATTTAAGCTCTGTTTTATAATTTTCACAGTATATCGAGTTCTTCGCCTCATGTTCTCTTTTTTATCTACTTAAAATACTTCATGTCGTATTGTCATCCTATGATGTCATTTGCATTCAACGTGATATATTTAATGTAAACTACATTGTTGCGGTTCGCCTAACATTCCCTTGCTATAGACTAAACCAAACTACCTCCACTGACCGGTGAAAACGTTAGCTAGTTAGAGATAGATATTCTCACACACCTGGTTTTGTTTGAGGAGGCAAAGAGCCAGGTCCACCAACAACTGAAAGAGAACAAGAAAGTTTCAGTAAGAAAAATTTAAGAAAGAGACTGAATAAGACCAAAATTTCTCACCATGGTAAATGCAAGAAGTTCCTGGGTTTTACGTACCTGGAACTGGTTGAGGTGCAGGCTTGACTACTATAAAAATATGGTAAACATAATGTTAACGGTACATTCAAATTCAAGATAATGATGATAATGATGGTGATCATGATATAATGTAATCAAACCGATGATAATGCTAATGATAAAGATAATAATGGTGATAAACATTGAATTTTAGTACCTGTTGTTACACCGGGTAATATCGGTACTACAAAGAAAAATATTAAAATCGTTAATAACTATATGCATAACTAATTAGACCCGTTGTCATCTATAGAAGAATGGCAGGTAACCAACCAATTAAATAATATGCCTGAGTAAATTAGGGGGCGACGAGGTAAAATCTTTTAAGGTTGTTTATTATGATTCGTAAAACTACTAAGATAGTCAATTATCACTTACGATGTTCAACACCGCCACCCACAGTGATAGCAAAGACACCAGATTTTCCAATGGTGATATGAGAGTATCCAGAAGGCTTCTCGTCTTTCCATGACGTACCAGTAGGATTACTGGCAGAGACACCAACCCTACTTTGTATTCCACCTGTCAGGGTGATGCCCCAGACCTGCCCGCCAGGCCCTGCCTCTAGTTGGGTAAGCTTGCCCGTGACTGGCAACCATGATGTACCAATTGTTGTTGACTGAGTCTGTCCTTGTCTAAAGTAAACCTAAATATATTGTGAGAGAAATAGTGGTTAAATAAGATATTAAGTTAATAGAACACAACAAGGGACACTACTTTTATGTATAATGGATAGCTCTATCAATTCTAAAATCCCCTAAGGGTCCTGTGTAACTAAGGGGATAAAGCCTAAATTTAATTAAATTCGTTTCCATTGGATAGCTTTTTTATCAGTTCTACCTGGAATTCCAATAAGGGTATCTCGTGTTAATCCAGTGTAACTACAGGAAGAGACCATAAACAAAACTAACTCTATATATACTGGATAGATCTATCAGTTCCAAACTTTTTTCCGTACAGGTGCAAGGAAAGCAGTCTCTTACTGGTGCGCAGTGTTACTACAGAAGGGAACCTAAACTAAACTGACTTTATTGACACTGGGCATAGCTCTCTGGATTCTAAACTGTTCTCTATGAGGTTCCAGAAAGGTTAATTCTATGTTGATCCGGTTTTTCTACAGCAAACAACTGGAGTATCCGGAGAAAACCTATGGCATTCGGTAGAGTCAAACTGGAAGCATTCTTCTCAAGGGCAACTGAGGTGAAATTATAATACAAGAAGCGAACCCCAGTAAGAGGCGAAAGTCTGTTATGAACAAGCTAAGCTTGAAGTAATATAAAGCCATCCTAACCTTGTTACTTGTTGTCACAACCCAGCATCCAAACTCCCCGCACGAGATATGTTTAGGTTTTTTCTCGAATGGAATAGTCGACCATCCGTTGCCTTTGGGATCGATCAATGAAACTCCAGTTCGGCAATCAATCTTTTGTTCTACAGTTATTCCACAGAGTATACCCAGAGGTCCGGAATCGATTTGTTTCATCTTTCCACTGATCTGATACCATTGCTTTCCTTCAGGTAATTTATCGCTAATTCCAAGACGAAGCTGTACTTGATCTTTGTTGCCAACAGCCCATACACCAGATTCACCAGCTGTGATGTACTTCTGATTCGTAGGCACGTAGATCCATTTATTGAAATCTTTTAGCATGTATACAGCATCACGGATATTGATTGCCCAAACTGCATTAGTGATACCCGAGTCGATCTGAACCATTTTTTCTATGCTTGGATCAAGCGGAATCGTATTCCATGTTTTAGGAACTAGAAGGATAAAAATTATAGATTTAGAGTTGATTTGAGAGGTTTTGTTATGAGGTGATGGTGGTGGTAGAGATGTGATGATGATGGTGATGAGATGGTAGTGGTATTGTTGTTCATAACAATGATGTTTGTGATGATAATGGTGATGATGATGATCGTGATGATTAGTCAAACTGCAACCATATGATAATGGTTTAACGGAAGAAAACTTTCACAAATTAAAGTTTCTTACCTGGGAGCGTTGGTGGAAGAGAACCTGGTCCTCCAACTGGTGTGATAGCTATAAAAGGGAAATACGGGTATCAAATCGTTGTCAAAAGAAATCTAGAAATTACAGTATAAGCTTTTTTCGTTTTACTAACCTGGCTGCAGCTTTGGTGGTGGAAGGGAGCCAGGTCCACCAACAACTAGAAAAATATTGATAAATATTTAGACTACAATATGTGAAAGAAATGTGCACTTTCTCATATCGTGACATATACATCACCATATAGTAAACCAAAGCATGTACTACAATACCTTAAAATACTCATTAATAATTCATAAACCTTGTGGCAAATTATGTCAGCCATAATATGTCACGTGGAGTGACTTTATATCTGATAAAACACATGCATGCATACATGCATGCATGTGGCATTATATAATTGTTCATCCTAATTAGTATTCTTTTCAGAGCGCTTTATGTCGATCGGATAAAACATCCTACTGGTGTTTTAAATAGTACACATAATGTCATATCATATCATACTATACTGAGGGACTTAGCGAAGACTATAGTATGTTGTTGTGGGAGGTGTAATGGTCGAAATTACGTGATTTCTTAAATGACGTTTTAAACTGAAAGCAACCTCGACTGGTCATGTCCTCCCAAATTATTTCAAATATAGGGAGGGGTGGTAGAGGGGCGCGTCTGTAGCGTTATAAAATTGCAACGTGTTATAGTTTTGGGTGTTCAAATTTATATTTGCTAGAAATCGTGAAAAGAACTGATATTAAAAAATTGAGTTACATTCCAAACAATTTGAATAACATTCAACTTATAGACCATGCTATACGGCTTGCCAAGTTACTCACCGATTTGGTTGTTATTTAGTGAAATATATCCTGATAATCGAATCAAAATGATTTAGTTATTGCCGAGATGTGTAATTGCAACGAAATTCCGAGATCTTTTAATTTCTGAAATATCTGTGTAAGAAATTTTGTTGTCGAGACTGTTAGAAAATCATCCATCAAAGATGAGTCAAACACCAGTATATTATTGTCAATTGACAATGTACACCACATTTAATAAATTTTATAAATATCTTTAATTTTGACACTCATTTTAATTTGCTGCTTTATATCTTCTCATAATAATACAAGACCAATGTTTATTTTGTGGAATAGAATACCGTACAAATATAATAAGTACAAATCTAATGGCATATTTTAAGAATATTATAAATGTAGAGCACGAAACGGCGCTTGAGAAAGCATTTAATTTAGAGTAACGATTTTTGCCTGGTTTCTTGACTGGACTGTTCATAAAAATGTTAGAATAATTTTGTAAATTAAAAGAAAGAAATAAAAATTAAGTATATAATTAAGTATATAATACGGGTGTTTCCTGGAAATACAACTAAAATTTGACATTTTTAACTTGCGTTCACTTTTAACTTCCACTTAGCCTTTCATAGCCTGTCAATGGTTGTACAATTTACCAGAAAAAACAGCTGAAATCACCACGAAAGTTACCTTATCTTATGCCTTAACAAATACACCCCCCAATGGCTAAGGGACTGACTATATTATATGATAACGTTAAAGATAACCATACCTGGTAGTTTCTGACCTGCTCCAACTCTTCTCAATGTTCCACTGAAGACAGTATTACCGAGATCAATACTGTATAACTGATCTTTGCCAACTGTTACAAACTTGAACGGCGGTCCACCAACTTTCATCCAAGATGTACCCATTGGTATGGTTGTACTTACACCAGATCTGCGATATAGTTCATTCTTGCTGTTAACTCCCCAAACTTTGCCATCAGGTCCTGCCTCGAGTTGAACCAAAGTGCCATCTACTGCTTTCCATCCTGTGCCTTGAGGTGAGGCAATGGTTACACCTATAAAATATGGTGAAAACGGTTTTACTATAGACCACTAATGTACAGTAGATGATGGTCAATCGACATTATCACAGTGGGAAAATAATGTTAATTGATTTCATTTTACATGCAAAAGGTAATGTAATTCCAAGAAGAAGCTCACTAACTGAATTTTACACCCGTGATTCCCTGAACATTTTGTGGCATTGAGGCTCAGTATTGTGGCTAAATTGTAGCAAGTGTGAGTTCTACCCCAGTATGGTCAAAACCCATAAAAAAGGGAGAAAAGAAGCCCGTTGGGCCATAATAGCCTGTTAAGGGCACTATGATCTGTCATGGGCGCAATAGCCTGTAAAGGACGAATAGACTGTTAGGGACACAATAGCTTGTAGGGTTATTTGGAGGCAAAGGAATAAATAGGAGATGTAGTTTAATTCGCTTGCTCGTATAAGCGTCAACATTTCTGAAGTTGGTCACAATCTGCCCTCTAATCGTTATTGAAATCCACCGAATAGGAACATTTTAGAGAAACATTCAAATACATAGAAATACCTTCACGGAAGAACACTTGGTTATTTTTGTTCACTCCCCAGTGACCAAACTCGCCACATGAGATGTACTTCAGAGATCCATCAAGTGCAATCCAGGCTGAACCCTCGGGGGTAGCATCAGTTATCCCAGTGCGACAGAATACTTGATCAATACTGCTAACACCACAGACAATTCCTTTGGGTCCTGAATCTATTTGTTTCAAACCTCCTGCAATTTTCTTCCAAGTGTTAGTTACCATATCTCTGTAGTAAATTTGAGATGCAGATGTAACGCCCCAAACACCAGCAGCACCAGATGTAACGTGACTCAATTTTCCAGGTACCAGTGTGAAATCGTCACCCTTCAGTTCGTAGATGTTATTGTTAGCGTCTGTTGCCCAGGTTGATGGCATCATTCCAGTGTCAATTTGAACCATAGGTTTGCTCAGAGATCGCCAGGATACTGTCAAAAAAAGAGCGAATTTACTACATAAATCACCACATAATATATTGGAACCTCGTACCCACCGTCTCTCCTCCTGGCGAGAGGCGAAAAGACCCTAGTGGACGCTGGTCACGCGATCTGCTAATATCTAGCAGATTTTTAATTAGCAATCCAAGATGAGGTCAATAAATACTTGATATTTGGATGATTTTTATGGTTTAATTTATAATTTGCATTTTGTAGTATTGTCGTAATAAGAATCTGCTAGATTTAATATATAAAGATTTAATATATAATAGAGATAATAAGAATCTGCTAGATTTTAGCAGATCACGTGACCAGCGTCTACCGGGGTATTTTCTACCCAAGAGGAAAGATCCTGGGTAAGACGTTGAATACATGGTTCAAATTTAACTGAAACTGAACTAACTTTATTTATATGGTATAGTATTATATCGGTTCTAAACTGTTACCCTAGTAATATTATTATGGGACGAAATCGGAATACATGAAGAGAACCGAGGTTGTTTGGTAGACTTTGGTTGTCGCATGTGACGATATTATAATCAGATACTACACAACTGTATACTGCAGAAATCTCCAGAATCTAACCCCATTAACAGAGGTAAACGGCACATGCACCAAGCACTGTGTCACCAACAGTATTACTTAGAATCAAACTCTTGCTAACCGTGTATTGTCATCATCACTCTTTGTGGTGGCAGACTTCCTGGCCCTCCAATAAGTGGTGGAGGTTTGAATTGAGGAACTATAAAATAAGGTCAATACTTCAGCTGTTACTATAAAATGATGACCTTGACGATGGTAAACATGAGAACGATGATTACGATTATAATGATGATGTTGATCATGAAGATAGTGATGAAGATCATGGTGATGACAGTAACAATTATGGTGATGGTGATGATGACGGTAATACTGGTGACAATAATGACTGTACTATACACCTTATCATACCAAAACCTAACGTTTGCCATACCTGGTAGTTTCTGACCTGCTCCAATTCTTCTTAATGTTCCACTGAAGACAGTATTACCAAGATCAATACTGTATAACTGATCTTTACCAACTGTTACAAACTTCAACGGCGGTCCACCAACTTTCATCCAAGATGTACCCATTGGTGCGGTCGTACTTACACCAGATCTGCGATATAGTTCATTCTTGCTGTTAACTCCCCAAACTTTGCCATCAGGTCCTGCCTCAAGTTGAACCAAAGTGCTATCTACTGCTTTCCATCCTGTGCCTTGAGATAAGGCAGATGTGACACCTACACAAAATGGTAAAAACGGTTTACAATAAAGCACTGACGTGCAGTAGATGATGGTCAACCGACATTATCACAGCAGGAAAATAATGTTAATTGTTTTCATTTTATAGGCAAAAGGTAGTGTAATTCCTAATTACAGCCGAGAGTTGAATTACGAAGAACGCAACTCAGAACGTGACTGAGTCGAAGACTTTCTAAGGCGCCTCTGGCTACCACCATACGACTCATGTTTTATCACAAATAACAGCTAAGGCGTAAGGGTTTGTTTTGGGAGGGGAGGGAACCGGGCTACCAGGCAAAACAATATCAATTCTACTTAGATGAGTCCAGCACATCAAGTCAGAACTGGGTAGTCACCTATAAAATAACAATATTCCTACCTTACCTTACCCTTAATTTTCAGAAACAGATATAATTTAACTCAGTGACACGGAGAAGCTCACTACTGTATTTTTACCCCGTGATTCCCTGTAGAATTGTTGCATCGAGGCTCAGTATTGTAGCTGGATGTTAGAAAGGGTAATTTCTATACCCCGTATAGTAAAAACCAACTAAAATGGGAGAAAGGAAGTCCGTTGGAGCATAATAGCCAGTTAGGGGCATTGTGGGCTGTCAGAGGCGCAACAGTTCATTAGGGGCACAACAGCTCACATGGGCACAATGGGCTGTAAAGACAGAATCGCCTGTTTGGGCCAAGTAGCCTGTTAGGGGAACAATAGCTTGTAGGGGTTATTTAGAGGCAAATAAATAAGTATGTTATGTAGTTTAATTAATTTGCTTGCTCGTATAAGTGCCAACATTTCTAAAGTTGGTCACAATCTTCTCCTCTTATGGTTATTGAAACCAACTAATTAGGAAAATTTCAAAGAAACATAAAAAAGTACAAACACAGAAATACCTTCACGGAAGAACACTTGGTTATTTTTGTTCACTCCCCAGTGGCCAAACTCGCCACATGAAATGTACTTCAGAGATCCATCAAGTTTAATCCAGGCTGAGCCCTCAGGGGTAGCATCAGTTATTCCATTGCGACAGAATACTTCGTCAATACTGCTAACACCACAGACAATTCCCTTGGGCCCTGAATCTATTTGTTTCAAACCTCCAACAATTCTCTTCCAAGTGTTAGTTACCATATCTCTGTAGTAAATATGAGAAGCAGATGTCACTCCCCATACACCAGCAGCACCAGATGTAACGTGACTCAATTTTCCAGGTACTAGTGTGAAATCGTCACCCTTCAGTTCGTAGATGTTATTGTTAGCGTCTGTCGCCCAGGTTGATGGTGTCATTCCAGTGTCAATTTGAACCATAGGTTTGCTCAGGGACCTCCAGGACACTGTTAGGAAAGAGCGAGTTACTGCATAAGTTACTACATAATATAGGGTTCAAACTTAACTGAAACTAACCCAACTTTATTTATATGGTATAGCTATTATATCGGTTCTAAACTTTTACCCTAGTATTATTATTATGGGAAGAATCGATATACCTGCAAAGAACCGACGTTGTTTGGCAGACTGAAACTACAAAAACACTCTTGTCGCATGTGACGATATTATAATCAGACAACTACGCAACTGTATACTGCAGAAATCTCCAGAATCTAACCCCATTAACAGAGGTAAACGGCACATGCACCAACCACTGTGTCACCAACAGTGTTACTTAGATTCAAACTGTTGCTAACCTTGTATGGTCATCATCACTTTTTGTGGTGGCAGACTTCCTGGCCCTCCAATAAGTGGTGGAGGTTTGAATTGAGGAACTATAAAATAATGCCAATACTTAAATTAGCCGTTACTATAAAATGATGATCTTAACGATGGTAAAAATGAGAACGATGATCATGATTATGATGTTGATGATGATGTTGACGATGAAGTAGTGATGAAGATCATACTCATGACAGTAACAATTGCGGTGATGGTGACGGTAATATTAGTGACGATGATGACTGTATCATACCGGCCAGAACCTAACGTTTGCTATACCTGGTAGTTTCGGACCTGCTCCAACTCTTCGTAATGTTCCACTGAAGACAATATTACTGAGATCAATACTGTATAACTGATCTTTACCAACTGTTACAAACTTCAACGGCTGTCCACCAACTTTCATCCAAGATGTACCCATTGGTACGGTCATACTTACACCAGATCTGCGATATAGTTCATTCTTGCTGTTTACTCCCCAAACTTTGCCGTCAGGTCCTGCCTCAAGTTGAACCAAAGTGCTATCTACTGCTTTCCATCCTGTGCCTTGAGGTAAGGCAGATGTAACACCTTCAAAAAATGGTGAAAATAGATTTACTAAGCACTAACATGCAGTAGATGATGGTGAATCCACTGTAAAGTAATTCCTAATTATAACTGAGAGTTGAATTAAACAGAATGCAACTCAGGACGTTGCTGAGTTGAAGACTTTCTAAGACGCCTAGTCAAGGCGAAAGGATTAGTTTTGCGAGGGAAACCGCAGTACCAGGAGAAAACGATCCACAACTCCACTTACATGAGTTTTCATGCACACCAAGTCAGAGTTGGGTAGTCACCCATCGAATAACAATATCCTACCTTTTTCAGTAAAAAACTTAACTCACCGACAAGGAGAAGCTCCCCAACAGCAATATACACCTGTGATTCCATGTTGTTTTGTATTTGGAGACAACGTTAATATATAGAAGACTTAATTTAATTTAATTTGCTTGCTCGATTAACCATCAACATGCCTGAAGTTGGCCACAATCCTTGAACTGCCCTCGAATGGCCGGTTATTGAAACCCACCAATTAGGAAAATTTTAAAGAAATATTAAAGAGTACAAACACAGAAATACCTTCACGGAAGAAGACTTGGTTGTTTTTGTTCACTCCCCAGTGACCAAACTCGCCACATGTGATGTACTTTAGAGATCCATCAAGTGCAATCCAGGCTGAACCCTCGGGGGTTGCATCAGTTATCCCAGTTCGACAGAATACTTGATCAATGCTGCTAACACCACAGACAATTCCTTTGGGCCCTGAATCTATTTGTTTCAAACCTCCTGCAATTTTCTTCCAAGTGTTAGTTACCATATCTCTGTAGTAAATTTGAGATGCAGATGTAACTCCCCATACACCAGCAGCACCAGATGTAACGTGACTCAATTTTCCAGGTACTAGTGTGAAATCGTCACCCTTCAGTTCGTAGATGTTATTGTTAGCGTCTGTTGCCCAGGTTGAAGGTGTCATTCCAGTGTCAATTTGGACCATAGGTTTGCTCAGGGATCGCCAGGATACTGTCAAAACCGAGCGAATTTACTACATAATATCTAGTTCAAATTTCTAAACTTAGCTGAAATTAAACTACCTTTATTTATATGGGATAGCTATATCGGTTCTAAAATATTCTTCCTTGTATTATTATTATGAGAACAAATCGGAATACCTGCAGAGAACCAAGGTTGTTTGAGTAGAGTCTAACTAGAAACACTTTTGTCACACGTGACTGAGACGAAATTATAATCAGACAACTCCACGACTGCATACTGCATTCACGGATATATAATGTACCTTCATTAATAACTGTGCCACCCACACTTTTAAGGCTGATTTCCACTGTTGCGTTTTTCATACGTACGTTCTGTATACGCACGTAAAACTTTAAATCCATTTAAATGTTACATATGAAATAACCAGATAAATAAAGCAAAATAATTC